CCCCCAGCCCAGCCATGCCGCCGGTTAACGGATTACCCCAGTAAGCATGCCAATAAGGGTGATGATAACTAGTTAACCCTTTACATCCCTAATCTCTGTTGAGAAACCTAGTATCAGATTGTTAATGACCACAAGAGGGCAGGACATTTGTTTCACGTCTTATTGAATTCTGGAACAGTACTATGGCTCCTAATGCAACACATGAATATTTCCAGTTATTTATTTCAATGATTGCTGGGCTTTTTAACAGGATTTTTATAGTAAGATTCTATATAATTTTGTTCTTGTTACTTTTTTATTTCTGTTTTGATTAGACCTTTCATTTGTCTAGAACTGGCATTATGAGTCATTCAGATGTGTTATACCATTTTTGTTCCCTCCGAATAGAAGTTGGATCACAAGGTTTGTTGAGGGTTGGAAGCAGTTACATTCTTGTGGTTCGCTAACCTTTTTTATAAAAGTGTTTTACAAAAGAAACGTGAGCTGCTGGTTTTGCTGTCTTTGCAGTGAAACCTGGTGAGTTTCATATACATTGAGTCATAGTGTCTACAGGTGACAGATAAACATCTGTACTATTCAAGTTACCGTAACTCAGAGATTAGTGGATCTGATGTTTGCAATCGTGAACATTCAGGCTTGTCCATTTTCTCAACTATAAAAGATTGTAAGTTTCATGTAACCACAGAATTCAGTTACTTATTTCTAGGCATCTACAAAAGACTTACTTCAGTCTTTCTGGAGTGCAGCTTTCTTCCTTCCTTGCACCCAGCAGACAGCAAAGGTCAAGCTTGTGTCTCCATCCACACTTACCTTCCTTTTCCCCCATACCTTGCTAGCAAAGGTATGAGGCAGATTTCAAGATGTGAACCCCCTTTGCTCTCTTCCATTCCTGCAATGGCTAGCTGAGTACATGTGCAGCATTAAATATAGCCAGGATGGGGTGGGCTTTGCTCTGCTATATGACCACACTAGAGGTAGTCAAAATCTAACCTGTGTTAGGTGACTAAAATGTAATGTTCCAAAAGAATACATTATATCTACTTACGTGGTTGCCAAAACTGTATTATCTAAGAACCTTCACAGAGTTCAAAGGAAACAGTTCCTGTAGAAGAGGCAATATATTATGCCACAGTCTAGGTTGGGAATATGCATAAATTCCTGTTAATTTTAATTTATTAAAATAGAATAGGCATAATTCTCCACCGTACTTCTATAGTTTTACAGTAGGGGATAGCATCATGGAGAATCAGGCCCAATAAGAACTAAAAAGCTGCAAAAAGATTGCTTAAATGAGGGCTCCCATGCAAATGTCCTAGAAAAAAGGTGCCTATGTACCTTTATTGAAAAGGTCTTCCAAATATAAAGCAGTGAATGGTATAAGAACATAAAAACAGCCATATTGGGTCAGACCCAAAGGTTCCTCTAGCCCTGTATCCTGTCATCAAGTAGTGACAATCCCTGTCACAGAAGAGTATGATTTCTCAGGAAATGATCAAAGAGCTAAAGGGAATGTTCTAAGTACCTTCTGTAGATTTTGTTTATTGACTAATTTTTTGTTAGTTTTGTTTTTTGTACATCAATGTTATATGATTTTCTATAAAGATGAAGGAGATTAATCCTTGACGGTCTTAATGTTATTCTTTCCCCTTAAATCCCAGAACCATCAAGTTCAATGATGGATTGGCTAGCAAATTGCTTAACTAATTTCTCTAATGCTCCATTTCTTAGGGGCATATGCTTCAAAAAGTCAATTCACTTACACAAACAGTATTCCTGCATCATTGAGCTAAATTTGTTTATTTTTCATGGACTGTTGCTATTTAGGAAAGGATCCTAGAATTTCAGTACATTTTACAAACCATTCAGTAATTCAGTTTCTTTCCTTTCTTGTAGGTGAGAAGCGACACAACTTTGACATTAATTACAATTCCAGTTTCTTGTATGAAAAGGAAAGTGATATGATGCAAGGACGTATGATGGACCAGGCCATAAATAATGCGATCAGCTACCTTGGAGCGGAAGCACTGCGTCCCCTTGTGCAAACCCCCCCAGTTCCCACTTCTGAGATGGTCCCGGTCATCAGCAGCTTGTATCCCATACCGCTCACCCGCTCTGAAATGTCAAACGGCAACCCACAGGATACAGAGAAGAGCCATGCCCACCTTAGAGACAAAAGTTTGTCTTCTGACAGAGGCCTTTCCCCAAATAACAGTGGCCAAGACTCAACAGACACTGACAGCAACCACGAGGAGCGTCAGAATCACACCTACCACCAGAATCAGATGATCCCTTCCCAAGTCCGCAATGGCCTCCAATGCTTGAAGGAGCTCCCAAGACCATATGACATAATCAAGCCACCAACCATATGCCCACGTGATGCCTTTAAAGTTATCAATAAGGAAGGTGACATCATCGGGGTCTACAGATGTGACCATTGTCGTGTCCTATTTTTGGATTATGTGATGTTCACCATTCATATGGGATGCCACGGATTCCGTGATCCTTTTGAATGCAACATGTGTGGGTACAGAAGCCATGACAGATATGAGTTCTCCTCACATATAGCACGAGGAGAGCACAGAGTGTCCCTGAAGTAAAAGGATTAATTTCCCAAGACACCAAAGAAGCTGTTTTAGATTTTTTTTTCAGTTTGATTAAAAAATGCTTACATATTTTTGTGCCAATTCTAAAAATGCTAATGCCCCTCATAGTAGCAAAGTAATGATGGGCTTTATTTTTCAAAATGCAGTATTCTGTAGCATCTGTGCCTAGATACTGGGGTGACTGGCACTATATATAAATACCAAAGATAGACAGACACAGATTTTTGTATGAACTTTATTTTTGTGAAAAGTAATAGCAATTTAAGATATGTTTTAAAAGTATTTTAACATGTATTTTTGTTAGAACATTTGCTTCTGGTAATAGCAAAATGGCAGTTTAGCTGTATTATGCCGTGAAAAAGAGAGTCAAACGTTGATGTAATAATTCTCATTAAAACATTGAGAAGATCGTCCATCCTTACTGCCCTTTTCACTGGCCTGTCACAAGCACCATGTTCCAACCAATAACACAGAAAGGCCATGTCTATGCTAGGAAATTATTTCGAAATAAGTTATTTTGAAATAAAAACTCCCAGAATAACTATTTTGGAATAGCGTGTCCACACTACAGGGAAGCCTCGAAATTAGTCCGAGGAAGGCTCCCATAATGTAGACGCACTATCTCGACTTACAGCCTCAGGAAGTACTGGGGAGTAATTACATTGAATGACTTTGGGAAGTAGTTATTTTGAAATAGCATCAGTAGTGTGTGTCCACACTACCGCTATTTTGAAATAACCAGCCTGTTATTTTGTCATGTGGATGCTCCGCTTGTTGTTTCGAAATCAGGGGAGTTATTTTGAAATAACTCCCTAGTGTAGACCAGGTCCCAGAGACACTTTCTGTTATTGTTTCACTTCCTGAGGTATTCCTAAAATGGCCAAGTTATTGAAACACAGAAAACACAGTATCCTCAGGTATGTATCAAATTACTTTTCAGTGTTTCCCCCAGAGTCTGAGAGTGTGTTGTCTCACCACACTTCCGTTTTCCTTATCCACTCAGTCCACTTTCTTTAATCTCTCCCCCCAATCACCAATTAATAAGTCATGTGAGCTATTTTAGGGGTTTGTGTTTTTTAACTGTGTATGCTTTTTGAGACTATTTGTTGGCTTGCCTCTGAATTTGGAGGAAATCCAACTTTTTTTGATTGATCAAGTATGTGTCTTTCTAACAGAACAAAAGTGCAATCCCTCTTCCATTGCCATCAATAGCAAAACTTATACTGACTTCACCTGGTGCAGGGTCTAAAACTGCAATGGGCAGGCAAAATACCAATTGAGGCAAACAGAATTTTTGCTTATCTAAGTTCTGCAGATTGGACTCTATGAGGTTATTGTAGCTCAGGGTTACTCAACTTTGGAAGCCCGGCAGGCCACAATGATACTCACAGCACATGCCAAGGGCTACAACTTAAGTGTGATTGCATATACATGCAAATATATATGCACATACATGCAAATAGCTTCTTTCACACTGACAGGCTTGAGTATAAAGATTAAGGCAAGACTACACAACACACAGGCCCTATTTAAGCCAGTTCTGTTGATATTAATAAAATGCAATAGTTACCTGATTTCCACCCATATGACAACACTTTTAAAGAGTGATGACACATCTTAACAGAAGACCATTATATTGACTACTTTTTTGTTTTAGCTCCCACCCCCAGGCCGCAAACAAACAGGCCGCATGTTGAGTATCCCTGCTGTAGCTCATAGGGTATGTCTACACTGCAGAAGATTGAACAGGCCGCTGTTGATCTTCCAGGATTCGAATTAGCGGTCTAGTGAAGGGCCCAAGTCTATTTTCACTGGTGTTACCCATGTGAGAAGAAAGGTAGGTTCAAAATGTACTGGATCAGATGCTACCCTCAAATCTTACTGATGTCCATGCAATTGCATAGATGAGCAGAGTTTGACTCAATATATTTTGGATTTAGCGTTGCCAAGTGGAGTCATAGTGTCCTGGCAAATATTAACAGTAGCAACCGTGAGAATCTTCATGTAAGAATGTGTGGGAGTGGACAATTCAATCACACCGTCTGGTTTTACATGGGGATATCCCTTAGAGTGAAAAGTGCTGTTTTGCAAAATGAGTATTTACGATTACTTTGAAGCCAGTTTTTAAAATAATCTAATCATTGTTCTGCAGCTTTATTATTAGTCACTGTGCTGAAGATGTGAATATGATAATTTTGCTGAGTGTATGTTTATTTTTTAAAACCTTTTATATAATGATGCTAGATGTGTTCTGCTGGATTTTTTTTTTAATCCAGTGGGTATTTAGCATGAACTTTTATTTTGTACTTTTTTCCAGTGTTGTGTAAACTGCTGTGTAATATGTTTCACCTTTTTGCATGGAGCAAAAGTGGGAGCTAGTGTTCTGAACAGAGAACTGAGTATCAGGAAATATGGAATTCTAATGCGGTCTCTTGACACTGGCTTCCTCTGTAATCTTGGACAAATCACTTCACTTCTCCATGATTTATTTTCCTTGTGTAAAAAGGAGATGATGATATTTTCTCTGCCTGATAGGGGAATGTGTGAAGATTAATAAAATTACTGTTTGTAAAATGCTGTGATGTTGACAAGTGCTAAATATTGCTGTATCTTTTAGTGGGGAGTCGGGAAAGTATTTTTGTCAATTTGTGTTCAGTTTGTGGCTACATAGTTGTAAAATATTTTTGTGAATCCCTTTGTGGTAGAAAACTTATTACCTAGGACATTTCTAGTGACTTGCATGGATGCTCCTCCTACTCTTCCCCCTGCTCCCCAATACAACCTTGCCACAGCGCTACTACAAAACCCTTCAGTTGAATTACTGTAAGATCAGGTAAGGGCCATTAGGTTCATGCCCAGTATATTTGGAAATACTTTGGAATGGATCTCTTACAATAGGAGGTTGGCTAAAACATACCGTATTCTTCTTTATTTCCTGTCTTCAGTAACTGTGAGCTGATGGAACAGTTTCTACTTTTCATTCCAAATACAGCTGTATTCTCATGGGAAAGATGATCATATATATGTACACTGTAGAAAAAATGTTTCTCATTAGTGTTAAAACCAGATGAATAGGAAAAGTATAAATAGTGAAGTGTTACGTAGTTATTGGCCCAGGAAACACCTCGGTTTACTACATGTATCTTATATAAAATACCACCAGCTTCTTTCTCACGCCACCATGGAATCCTTGAAGATTATTTTGCCCAGAATGTACTCTCCCACTCTTCACTTCTTGTTCAGCTAGGCTGGGCTTCCACCACCTACCCATTATTTCCCAGATCAAATGAGCAATCAGCCACTGAGCCTGTGAAAAGTTCAGTTTGAACTACATTGACAGGTGCTTTTCTGTCTTTCTTTAAAAGAGGTTTCACAGTATCTGCCCCAAGTAGGCAGATATTTCTCACCACGGTTCAGGCAAAAAAAAGTGTGAAGATATATTGCCCCCTTCCAAAAAAAAAAAAAAAAAAGCTGTTCCTTGCCATTTTCTGGGCCCGGTGATGAGTGACCTCCTCATGAATTTGCTGTTGAACAATCACATGTTGAGTTTTAACTCAACCATTTTTTAAAATGGTCTTTTTAATGAGTATATTTTGTCTGACATGTAATTCCTCAATTTCACGAGTCTGTGTTTGGGACTACTTACACGTGGGCCTAGGACTCAGTTGATCACATATTGGGATTGAAGCTAGAAGATTACAAGAGGCTCATTCCTGCAAAGTGCTGAGTACTCTGCTTTCCATTTAAGTCAGGATCTGCCCCCTAATTTAAAAGGATCTGCTCCCTAATTGGCATAAAATTGCGCACATTTTAATACTAAGCTGTAGCTCAGAGACATTAAAGATTTCATCTTGCAATGCTTTCTCCTGATTTCAGTTGCCTTCTACTGGATCAAAAGGAAAGATTGCATGGTGAAGCAAGCAGCTTGTTATGGCCATCTCTGTTTATCTAAAAGAAGGTGGATCTCATCGCTGGATGCTGAGAGCCACGTTTAGCTTGCAAGATACATCTTGCCAACTCCTGCTGCAAAGAGTTCAAACAACAGAGTTGAAAACCCTGCTGATGACTTTGCAAAATAACCTGAACTGCAAAATGAAAAAACATTTGCAAACTGTTGCTAGCCTAATGTATTCTACTGGCCTATTTTAACAATGCTGTTTCAGTCAATTTCAGTATGAAAATAAAGTTTACATAGGTATTTTTGTGAAATGCAGCCTATTCAACAGTTTTCTCTCAGCCAATTCTTTTGTTGTATTAATTGATAAATTACGCACATACAAATGATTTTATTGTATCATTAAGGAACCAATCATATTTTTGTTTAACGTTTTATTGAATTTTTGAAGGACAGACCTACAAAAACAAGATCTAATATTTATAATTCCTAAAGAGGTCTCCGCAGATATAACAAATATATGGAATGCAATTTGCAAAGTGCCCAACATAAGGGGGCCCTTCATCCCTGACTGGTGCTTTTAGATGCTGCAAAATACAACTAATAATAACACTCCCTATTATGAATTACTTTTTGTATTTAATTAAGACTAATTAATCCAAATAGGCAGCCTCCAGATTCCCAGTGTTGAGAATTTATCTTACGTAACGTACATCTATCCAATTTCATATTTATAAACCAAGAAATTGAGATGAAACCTATAGTCAATATATAAGTTATGTGTTATACCCTGAAAGGATGAGTTGAATGATTGTGATTAAATTAACAAAATGTTAAATAGTTTCTTAATATAACTCTGTTGAATTTAGAGATTTAACTTTAATAATACTACTCTTCTAATTGCAGAAAAACTATTCCAGTACTCAACACTAATTCATACATTGATTATACATACACCAAAAGGGAGCTGTTGTTTCACTTTTTGGGTTTATATTGCACTTTCCCTGTATTATAGGTAAATCAGCACATAAAACTGGATAACGGGCCAAAGTCTTCCCTGGGAGCCACACAAGTAATTCCTAACAAGTTCTCAAGGACTTTTGTGTGCATATTTCTGATGGCAGAGTTTAGTCTTAATTTGCCCCTCAATGTATTAAGAATCCCCATCACTTTGGGCTCTTTGTTACTGTAGCCTTGGAGATAGGTCACAGGCAGCTAACTGGGAGGGGTTTCAAGGTCAATGAGTGAGTCTACAAGGGCTAGGGATGTGAATGGTTAACCGGTGGGCTGATACAACCCTACTCCATTGGGAAAGAGGGCTGCTCCAGCTCTGCAGGAACACTCTAGCCTGGCCAGAGCAGCCTCTGCCTGTGACAGACACAGCCTGACCAGAGCAGACCCATCTGCAACAGGAGGCTGGGCCCCCATGATTTGGGGGTGTGGCATGGTGGCCACTCCAGCCCATTTGGACTGGTCCAGTCCTCCACCTGTCCCTGTATAACTGGTTAACTAATTAAAAGGTATTTTATGTTCCTGGCAAGACGCCTTCTAGTTTGATTTGCTAGTGGAAAATAATGTACACTGTAAATCCGGCAACAGATTTGAATAACAGAAATTCCATTTATCTACATATACTGCCTGACTCGTGAGCTGAAGTGGCTTTACATGCTTACAGGGTCAAAGGCCTGTTTCACACTCTTCATGCACAGTCCAAATTTACAGGCTTTGCACAGGTCTTTAATAGGCTTGCCAGATGGTAAAATACCAAACAACCACCAAAAACACCAGGAAAAATTTTGTTGAACCAAAAAAAAAAGGACCCTGAGAGTTGTTAAGAAAAAAAAAAACGGGCCCCTTTAAAAACTGCATGCTGAAGCTTTTTGGCCCTAACAAGCTGCCGTCTTGCCTCGGGCTGGACAGCTCCCCGATAAGCACTAGGGTTGCCAGGCTGCCTCCATATTGAGCTGGACAGCCTGGTATTTTCGCCTCCTGGCTGGGAAAAAATCAGAAAGTACTGAACATTTTAGGTGTCTGGTATTTTTTTGAATTTTTTATTGGACAGGAGGTGAAAATAACGGACTTTCCGGTTCAATACCAGACACCTGGCTACTCTAGCCTTTGAAAGCACTAGGTGCATATAGAAATACCAAAAATGGAAAGAACTACTCTTCTCCCTTAACCCAGTAGCTTGGAGTGTTTGGTTGGCTAATCTGATGCCACCGTTACAGGCAAAGGCACCTGTGAGTGATGTTTAGGCCTGTAGATTCTTGTAGTGGTGGATCTATTATTTAATCCAGGCTTGCCCCTGCCTCTTTCCTCTGTGTTTCTGGAACTGTGGAACAGAACTTTTTTTAAAAGTGCTTTAAGTACACTTATTTTTAGTTTTCTATACCATTGGAGAGTTCTGTGGAAGGCTCGATTATCCAAGAGTTTCTGCAAGACTAGCTGTGCGGAGCTCTCTAAAGCACATCAGTTGGAGGGAAACCAGTGGAAGAAATAGTTTCAAGTGAATACCGTGACAGTCAGCAGGCCCCCTTTTTTGCATTCATTTTAAC